TTTACTCAAGGCAGAAGATGAAGCAGGAGCAGGCACCTCACATGACAAAAACAAGAGTGAGAGACAGTAGGGGGACTGCCACACACTTTTAAATGATCAGACCATGTGGGAACTCACTATGGCCAAGCAGCACCAACCTGGGAAAGATGCATCCCCATGACCCGAATGCCTCCCATCAGGCCTCATCTCCAGCGTTGAGTATTACAATTCAACATGAGATTTGGGTGGGGACAAATATACAAACTATATCAGTGTACAACTTTATTTCTGAGTTCCCTGTTCTGTTCCATTGGTCAGTGTGTCTGTTTTTGTAACAGTACCACAATGTTTTGTTTACTGTGATGTACTGTAGTTTGAAGTTCGGTAGTGTGATGCCTCCACCTTTGTTCTTTTTGCTTAGGATTGCTTTGGCTATTGGGTTTCTTTTTGGTTTGTATGAATTTTTAAATAGTTTTTTCTAATTCTGTAAAAAATGACCTTGGTTGTTGGGTAGGAATAGCATTAATCTGTAGATTGTTTTGATAAGATGAATTAAAGATTTAAACATAAGACCTGGAACTCTGAGAATCTAGATGAAAATGTAGGAAATCCCCATTCTAGGCATCAACCTTAGGAAAGAATTTATGGCTAAAACCTCAAAAGCAATTGCAACAAAAAAAATTGACAAGTGGAACCTCATTAAACTAATGTGGTTCTGCACAGCAAAAGAAAGTATTAACTGAGTAAACAGGCAACCTACAGAATGGGAGACAATACTTGCAAACTGCATCTGACCAAAGGTCTAATAAAGGCTAATATTCAGAACGTATAAGGAACTTAAATCAGCAAGAAAAAAAAGAATAAATTTTTTAAAAACCTCCATTAAAAATGGGCAAAGGACATGAACAGATCTTTCTCAAAAGAAGACATGCAAGCAGCCAAGAAATGTATGAACAAATGTTAAACATTATTCATTATCAGAAAAATGCTAATCAAAACCACAAGGAGATACCAGGCATACTAGTCAGAACACCTATTATTTAAAAAGTCAAAAATAACAGCTGCTGGTGGGGCTGTGGAAAAAAGGGAACACTGTACTGTTGGTGGGAATGTGAATGACTTTAGCTACTGTGGAAAGCAGTTCGGAGATTTCTCAAAGAACTCAAAACAGAACTACCATCTGACCCAGTAATCCCATTACTAAGTATTTACTGAAAGGAGAAGAAATCACTCTACCAAAAAGACAGGTGCACTTGTATGTTCATGATAGCACTATGGACAATAGTGAAGACATGGAATCAACAAAGGTGCCCATCAGTGATGAGTTAGATAAAGAAAAATGGTACATATACACCATGGAATACTACACAGCCATAAAAAAGAACAAAATCATGTCTTTTGCAGCAACATGCATGTTGCTGGAGGCCATTGCCCTTTAGCAAGTTAAGGCAGAAACAGAAAACCAAATACTGCATATTCTTGCTTTTAAAGAGAAGCTAAACATTTGGTACACATAGACATAAAGATGGCAGCAACAGACACTGGGGGCTACCACAGCTGGGAAACAGGAAGGGGGAAAGGGCTGAAAACTACCTAATGGGTACCATGCTTATCACCTGGGTAACAAAAATCATTTGTACCCCAAACCTCAGCATCACCTAATTTACCCATGTAACAAACTTCCACATGCACCCCCGGAATCTAAAATAAAAGTTGAGATTATTTTTAAAAATTAAAAATAAGCCAGGCGCAGTAACTCATGCCTGTAATCCCAGCACTTTGGGAGGCGGAGAAGGACAGATTACCTGAGGTCAGGAGTTCGAGACCAGCCTGATCAACATAAAGAAACCCCATCTCTACTAAAATTACACACACACAAAAAAAAATCAGCCAGGCATGGTGGCGCATGCCTGCAATTCCAGCTACTCAGGAGGCTAAGGCAGGAGAATCACTAAAACCCGGGAGGCGGAGGTTGCAGGGAGCTGAGATCGCACCATTGCACTACAGCCTGGGCAACAGGAGCGAAACTCTGTCTCAATAAATAAATAATTAAAGTCATGCATTTAGGAGCAAAACTCTGTCTAAATAAATAAATAAATAAATAAAAACAAAAATTAAAGTGATACATTTGGAACATGCCCAGTACAACCACAGGCTGGAGAAGCAGAGGAAATTCAAGGTATCAGTTTTCAGTATAAAACCAAAGTGATGTGTTTCAGAACAGCTTTTAAGTTGACGTAACTTTCTAGTTGACTTTTTTAGTATTCCTCTTGATATTCAGAACACTGTGATTAAGAGTCAGTTTTTTTCACTTTTGTTATATACATATATATTGTATATAAAACAGATTATTAGGAAAAACAATCTTGGTTTCTTAAAAGATTCAATTAAGTAAAGAGGGCGATGTTTTTAAGACCCTTTTTCCTAATGGTTGCATTTCATGAATTAATAATTCTAGAACTTATGCTCTTACTTTTAAATGTATGTTCCCCTGCAAAGTGAGCTTCTGAAAAATGAATGCGAAAGTATCATCAGGTGGGCACGGTGGCTCACATCTGCCATCCCAGCATTTTGGGAGGTGGAGGTGGGCGGATCATCTGAGGTTGGGACTTCGAGACCAGCCTGACCAACATGGAGAAATCCTGTCTGTACTAAAAATGCAAAATTAGCCAGGTATAGTGGCTCTTGCCTGTAATCCCAGCTACTCAGGAGGCTGAGGCCCAATTGCTTGAACTTAGGAGGCAGAGGTTGCAGTGAGCTGAGATCATGCTTTTGCACTCCAGCCTGGGCAACAAGAGTGAAACTCTGTCTCAAATAAATAAATTAATTAAAAAGGCCCTTGTGTATATCAAAAGGAGATGGTTTTACCACAAACTGTAGTTAAGGCAAACAGTTAAATTTACTGTGGACCAAAAGTAGAGGTTATTAGATTACTTAATTTAATTACAAAACGTATAGAAAGTTCTTTAGTGTAGTACTTTTCAGACATAACTATTGGGACTGTATTTTGAAATATGTATCACGTATAGCAAAAAGAAAAGGAGAAAATCCTATTTTAAAAATTACATTGCAATATATACATATATAAATATAAATACATATAGTCACTGTGATAGCATTCAAAATGGCCCCCATGAAGCCTCATCTCCTGATATTCTCACCTCTGTTTGATTCTCTCCACATTGTGCCATGGTTGGTCCATGTGACCAATATGATATGGCAGAAGAGACACCACTTCTGTGATTAGGTTTTCAAAGGCTGTGGCTTACATCCAAGTTCCCTCTCTCTTTCTTTCGCGTGCTTTCTCTCTCAATATCATCACTCTAGGAGAAGCCTGCTGACATTCTGTAAAAGCTTTTCCAGCATCCTACAGAATGGAGGCCTGGCAACAATTGTGAGTGAGCTGAGAAGCAGACTCTCCAGCTCCACCAGAGCCTGGAGATGATAGCAGCCCTGGGGACAGGGTCACTACAACTGTATGAAGACCCTGATCCAGAGCAACTCCACTAAGCCACTCCCGGATCCTGACCCTCAGAAACTCTATAATAAATATTTGTTGTTTGAAGAGATTGATTTGGGAACAATTCATTACCCACAATGGAGAACTACTATAGTTGTCAATGTTGAGTAGAAAATAAACATTAAAATTTGTTTGCAGTTTTTAATATTTCAAGCCTATCGCCAACACATCAATGTTTTCTGTTTTAAATTGAAATTACATGAGAGTATGGAGTCTTGCTCTGAGGATTCCTGCTTCTAAATACCTAACGGGTTTTTTTTAAATTTTCTATTAGGTCTTGAAAAAAAGCAGATGTCAGTTCATGTCACCCAAAAGCAGAAGGTGATTTTACTCAAATATTTTTTAGATGATATAGTACTTTTTAAGAAAAGCATCTGCCACAAAAATGGTGTCTCAAAATGATGTATTGCTGGCATGGATCACTGCTGCAAGTGACCTGCTCTCCTGCAGAGAAGGGCATGCTTTGCACAGTGCATGGCAGCCATCGGTGCTCTGTAATTGTCCATCATCACAGCACTATGATATTAGTGCTCAGGGTCTATCAATCAGTTGAGAGATGTTTGGGCTTAAATGGTGTTCTTTGTTTCACTGAGTTGTGTAATGTAAAGAGATTCTGCTGTTACTAAAATAGAACATGCACTGCTAGATTAAATACATACTTTCTTAAAATGGGATTCTGGTTTTCTAATTCCAGAGAAATTCAATAACCTAATGGTTTCACTATCAATCCATCAGCAATCCTTCTCTAAGAGTGTCTACTGGAGGCTTGGGGACCTACACTAGCTGAATATTCTTACCAGGTAAGCCTTTTTTGCTCAAGCTTCAGATTATGGTAGAAAATGGTCGTTGTTGGGAGAGGAACAGGAATGGGTCTTTGATGCGTTTGCCAGGGCTGCCTGACAAAGTACCATGGACTGGGTGACTTAAAGTACAGAAATGTATTTCTCACAGCTTGGGAGGCTAGAAGTCCAAGATCAAGGTGTTGGCAGGGTCGGTTTCTTCTGAAGCCCTCTCTCCTTGGCTTGTAAAGGGTTGTTCTTCCTCTGTGTCTCCATTTGGTCTCCCTTTGTGGCTATTGTGCCCTACTTACCTCTTCTTCTATGAACACCAGTCACATTAAATCAGGTCCATTCTGATGACCTTATTTTACCTCTTTAAATACTCTGTCTCCAAATACAATCACATTCTGAGGTATTTCAACATGTAAATTTTGGGGAGACATTATTCAACCCCTAAGAGAATCGAAATGTATTGTTTAGGTAAAAAACTAACCGAGCAAACAAATAAAATCATATGAAATTTTTAGCAGAGATGAATAAGTGATATGTGTTATAATAAAAGTGGTAATAAGAGCAGGCTTCTTGTAAGTAAATTTTATTATAGTTCTGATATGCTTTTTACCTTTAGTTTTTATTTCTTCTGTATAAAAGATTTGTGATACTTATATGATATAATTAACTCACAAGAAAGGCCAGTTCTCAAATATAGTTTTTATAAAATCTACGTGAATAGATAATTTATTAAGCTGGTGTGTGTGTGTCTGTTTAAATAAAGAGAAACCAGTAATTCACTTATACTACAGAATAATATTAGCCCAGACCAATCTTTCTTTTCTCATCCATCAATTTTTTAATTATCTCAAATAAAAAAGAGAAAATGTCAATATTTCACCAATTTAATGAGTATACAGTCGGTGCTATAACTATTAGCATGATTCTTCGTGCTTGTGCTGTGAGGCCTGATGAAGCACTTGATACCCAGTCCTTCTCATACAACCTCCCAAACAGAGTTACTGTTAAGACGGGTCCAGATGTCGGCTTCAGACTAAATAAGCGTCCATCAGTTGACACCTGGTTAAAACAAAAAAGTAGGCAAAGGCTACCGTCAAGTTATATAATCCCATAATTCACTTTTAAAATTTAGTATAACTGAATGAAGAAACAAAAACACTGGCCAAATTCTGTTCAGAAAAATTTGAAATGTTGCCAAGTATAAGAAAAAGTGAGCCATACAACTGGCATTGATTCATTTATTATTGAAATGCCTGTAATCAACAATACCTTCTAATTTACTTACCTGTGGAAGCACCATAAGAGTTAATTAACACAAACTAGTGGATTTGGTAGTATACAGAAGAGAAATCTAGTCCTCTTAGACAAGATAAAGACTCCCCCAAATGGCCCGAAGCAATTGACTAAGTGGGGTTTGAACTGAGCATTGGTCATCTCTCTTGCTCACCACAGCCTTCTCACCATTCCATTATCCTCCCTCACCCCAGCCGTGGTTTCTGCTAAGAAAGGGGATTGAGAGGAGAACTTGCAGGAAGTCAGCGGAAGAATGTGGCTGGGCAGAGCACCTGTGCAGCAAGGGATTATTTCTGAACTTTAAACAGTTTTTGCTTTTTTGCCAACATCAACCGCTGTGGAATTCTCTCTTCTCCAGCTTTTCCTTGTCTCTTTTCCTTCTATCATCACACAGAGCCTTGACTCACTTAATGAGACGGACTCCTTTCAACTTCCCTTGGCCATCACTCCCCAGTGACCCTAAGGGGCTCCAGTGGGACTGGCTCTGAAACTACTCTCATTGAATCTTCTTTCTACTTGGAAGACCTAAAGCAGCCCAGCCTTCTCCCTGTAATCCCCAAAATAAGATCCATACCTTTTTATTCTCAAGGACACACTAATTATTATGTTAAGAATTTCCAGACAAGACATACAGCCTGCTCAATGTCCTTCATGATCCCCAAGGATACTCTTACCCTTTCCAAATAGAAATTTATATGATATATGTAAGCACTTGAGCAGGTTTTTATATCCAAAAGTACTTCCTCTTACCTGAAATTAACTGGCAATAATTAAAGATTCTTACTTGAAATTCTCCAGGTGCAAGCTTCGTTTCACTCAGCAACACCTCAGGAAAGACATACTGGGTTCTGAAAGTGCCACTGAGGGAGAACATTTCAAACCTGGTAGAAGCTGTTTCCATTGAGTCACCACAAGTGTTTAAACTAGTCATTTTGCACTTCAGCAGGGTACAAACCTAGGGAAGTCATGAAAACCAGTAGGTCATAAGAAACTCATATGGGATATGTTAATTTGCTTGATTTAATAATTTCATAGTGTCTATGCATATCAAAACATCACATAATACACTGTAAATATATATAATTTTCTTTTTTTTTTTTTTTTTTTTTTTTGAGACGGAGTTTCGCTCTTGTTACCCAGGCTGGAGGGCAATGGCGCGATCTCGGCTCACCGCAACCTCCGCCTCCTGGGTTCACGCAATTCTCCTGCCTCAGCCTCCTGAGTAGCTGGGATTACAGGCACGTGCCACCATGCCCAGCTAATTTTTTGTGTTTTTAGTAGAGACGGGGTTTCACCATGTTGACCAGGATGGTCTCGATCTCTCGACCTCGTGATCCACCCGCCTCGGCCTCCCAAAGTGCTGGGATTACAGGCTTGAGCCACCGCGCCCGGCCAATTTTCATTTGTTAATGACAACAAAGCTGGGGCAAATTTTAAACATAAAGTAGAAAAAAAAGAATAAAATAATTAAATAAAATGCTAGATGCTCTTTAAAAGAAAAAATAAGAGAAAGTCAAATGAAATATTCTCTTGATTTAGAAAAATACCTATGCTGCTTTATTTGGTAAAATTACTTTACTTCCTCATTAGATTCATCCAGTTTATTGCTGGATAATTAATGCAACTAGTAATAAAAATAAAGGACTTTAAGCCCCAGTGCTTCCTGCAATTCACGGCCAAATAGATTAATCACATAGAGACAATCAGATCCTTAGCCTATAGTCATGAACAGCTATATCTTTATTGTTCTCAAGTTATTAATGATTTTAATTATCAAGAGATTAAAATGTGTTTAAAGGTTTAATTTAGACACCTGTGTAAATCATGTCTTATTGCCTGTTTCACACAATAAAAGAGCTTCAGAGTTGTAATAAGCCCTAGGGTTGACTTAGAGGCAACCCCTGTAATCTGGAAAAGTCATATCCTTTTATCTGTGCAAGAACTAAAACACTTCTCCATTAAGTTTTTCTTTCACTATAGTGTGTAGCAGCTATTTGACTATAAATTCTAACTATATGAGTCACCTCACCATGCAGTTGAAAAGTTTCCAAAAAGAGATCCAAATTCACTTAACTCCATCTGTACAGCATCTTCCAAGTGACCTTCATTTCTTGCTTGACTAAAGCAGTAGCTTGCTAACTGGTCTCACTGTTTCCACTTTGCAGTTGGAAAGTAATCATTCAGTGCAAGTGTATTAAGATGGGATAGAAATAACGTTCACGTAAAGGTAGAACAAACATGTGCTTCGATTTTATTTCCTACAATCCTTCAAAAAGAACACTAATTTTTTTTGTTAAAGATAAAACCCACAAAGATGGGAACATAGGAGGATAGACCACAGCATAGTTTTAGAAATTAGGATGTTGATACAAAAAGGAGTAACTGATTTAGCAGACTTGAGAAAGCCAAGTCCTGAACTAGCAGCAGAAAGAGCCAAGCATCAACCCTGTCTACACTCAAAGATTTAATCACTGGGACTGCTCTGTACCTAGAGCTGGGAGTAAAGTTGTGGCAGTGGAAGGAAAACAAAAACGAGCAGGAAGTTGTGAAGGATGCCTTGGATACTAAGTCCTTCAAAAAAACGGGTAACTGATCCTCCCCTACTCCAGTAAATAAATGAGAATGTTTCCAGAGAAGGTAAAGTGGATGGTGTTAAGATGGAAGTTTGGGAGATATAGTTGGAGGGTTTAACATGAATAAACAATACTGAATGTTGAAAATGTTCCCCCTCCACCCCCACCCACACCTTGCAAGGCCATTTTCCCCACTTGGCTCCCTAATGCTGCCAGCAGGGATTTATCTTTCAGGAATAGGGTTGCCAGGTAAAACATAGGGCAAGACTCCCAGTTAAATTTGAAGTTCAAATAGGCAACAAATAATTGTTTAGTATGTCTTAAATATTGAATGGGACATACTTACACTTTAAAAAAAAAAATGTTTATTTCGCCGGGCACAGTGGCTCACGCCTGTAATCCCAGCACTTTGGGAGGCTGAGGTGGTAGATCACCTGAGGTCATGAGTTACCAGCCGGACCAATATGGTGAAACCCCATCTTAGGAAAAAAAAAATGGGGAGACTCTTCCGCGGTGGGCTGGAAGAGTCTCCTTTTCAAAAAAAAGAAAAGAAAAGTTTATCTGGGCCAGGGGCAATGACTAAAGCTTGTAATCCCAGCACTTTGGGAGGCTGAGGTGGTAGATCACTTGAGGTCAGGAGTTCGAGACCAGCCTGGCCTACTTGGTGAAACCTTGTCTCTACCAAAAATATAAAAAATTAGCTGGGTGTGGTGGCAACCACCTGTCATCCCAGCTACTCAGGAGGCTGAGGCAGGAGAATTGCTTGAACCTGAGAGGCAGAGGACACAGTGAGCTAAGTTCACACCACTGCACTCCAGCCTTGGCAACAGAGAGAGATTCTGTCTTTAAAAAAAAAGTTTATCTGAACTTCAAATTTACCTGGGGATCTTGTATTTTTTGTCCTAAATTAGGCAACTGACTCAAGAAAGAAATTAGAAGAATGTGGAAACCTGGAAGACCTGACCATCCCAAGAGGAAGTCTCTAAAGACACTTACCTCAGATTTCCCCCCAGTAAAAGGTCCAGCTAGATCATTCTATCATGAAGCTCAAAATTGGCAAGTATTAGTCACGTCCTCTGAATTTTCTCAGTTTTTGATAATCCCCAAGAATTACCAGATATGTGAGAAAAACTTATTACATGAAAAAGCAAATAAGAAAAGTAGATAAAGACAACTTAAAGGAAACAGGTGGAAGGAGCTTCAAGGAAAAATTTCCTAAATAGCCTCAGAGAAAGAAGAAAAATAATGCATGAACAAAACAATAACAAGTGTTGAAGAAAAAGTAAAACTCAGAAGACAAAAAAGAGTTCTTGGAAATTAAGAACATGTTAACAAAAATAAAAGATTCAGTGCAAGATTTGGAAGATCAAGAGGCGGAAAACTCTCAGAAAGTAGAGGGAAAAAATAAAGTAGTAGAAAACAGCAGAGAAAATGAGAAAATTAGAGGACCAATTCAAGAGGCAAAAGATCCCAATAATAGGAGTTTCAGAAAAAGAGGAAAAGATATGGAGAGGAAGAAATTCTGTACGCATTCTGGGGAAGGTGCGGAATGAGGAATACACACGCAGAGAATCAAGAATCAGAAGAACTTCAAAATTCTCAGTAGCAACATAGGAATGGAGGATATCATACCTTCACAATACTAAATAAAAGTTATAACCACCTTTGAATCCCATGCCCAGTGAAATACTTAACCAAATTTAAGAGGAAAGGCACTTTCAGATATGTAAGTCTCAAAAATGTTGCATCCCAATCACTCTCAGGAAACTGTTAACAAGAAAGAGGGCATAAGCCAAAAACAAGGAAGGCAGGGAACAGAAAACAGGAAATCCACACAGGGAAGTGGTAAACAAAAATCTTCACCATGAGGATGAAGGAAGATTCCAGGATGACTCCTACGGTGTAAAAGGCATGCAGAGCAGCCAGTTCCGATTAGAGCAATGTGACTAGACAGCATTGACTCCAATACAACAAGGGAGCAAATAAAGATGGCAGAAGAAAAACAGAGAACCCCAAACAAGGAAATAGCTAAGAGAGAATTCCTAGGATGACAGTAAAGGAAATCTCAATATGACAGCTGTGCAGAAGAATGAGAGGGAAACCAGTGCAGAGAAAGGTTATTATTTTTAGCTCAGGATACTCTTATGAAAATGACATTGTAGGAAAATTATTCTGAGATGCTGTTGGAAGATATGGGGAGTTTTAACAAAACGTCAAAGAAAATTAACTACATTTTAAAAAACAAGGCAATTAATAACTTTAGGAAAAACAAAGAAAAAATATAAAAGCAATACTCAGAGGTGTTTGCAATGACATATTGATATAACAAAAGTTACACTGGAAGGTTGGTAGGGGGACACAGGAAGGTTGATGTAGCAAAGCTTAATGTTAAGAAAATGACTAAAACTGGTGAGTTTTAAAAAATAAAAATATTGTTAGAAAATCTTAATAGTATTGTAATTAAAGAAGTGAAAGTCGAAAGTGCCTCTGGGAAGGGAAACTAGGTAAATTAAGGAAGGCGCAACTGCTTTATAACATTTTTAGTGTCTTTTGTCTTTTTGACTATGAGCCTGTATTACTTTGATAGAGATAAATGAAAAGAGAAAGAATAAAACTGATTCAGGCAATAAGAAAGGACAGAAAGTCTTGCACATGAAGAGAAATTAAGAGATAAAGGAATTCAATTAGAACTAACATTTATAAATAAAGCAGTGCTACTCAAAAACGTAGAGGTGAGTACATTCTGTAAGAAACAATTAAGATTAAAAAGTATTTGTCTCTAGACAGGTAGACTGGGTAGAGCAGAGAGGTAACTAGTGTTTTATGAGCCTCTAGAGCTATTTGTTTTCTTCCTATGGCCACGTACAACTTTGATTAAGTTAATAAGGAAGGCAGGGAGAAGATCGATCCAGGTGACAAGAATGGCCGGGACACCTGGCCTGTGAAAAGGACTAGAAGAATCAAGGAACTAAATAAGGAGCTGCTAGCAATACAGCCAATGTTTATGTGAATGAAGCCAGGTATTATAGGTCTGGTCATTAAGAGAAAAGGTTATGCTTATTTTTATTAAGAATAATAATAATAAAGGTTAATATTTATTAAGTACATTCTACATGCCAATGTAAAAGGAAAATATGTTGGACCTCCAAAATCACAAAGCTAAAGGGAAAAGTCAAGCTGGGAACTGCTTCAGGCAAACCTGCCTCCCATTCTATTCAGTCAGTCCTCTGCCAGGCTCAGTGGCTCATATCTGTAATCCCAGCACTTTGGGAGGCCGAGGCTGTTGGATCACCTGAGGTCGGGAGTTCAAGACCAGCCTGACCAACGTGGAGAAACCTCATCGCTACTAAAAACACAAAATTAGCCAAGCGTGGTGGTGCAT